GGTGAAGGGGATCAGTTTATGTCTCGTTGTTTCTTACACTGTTCACTTTTCGTTGTTTTTATAGCAATAATTGCTTTAGCGAGGTATGCAAAAGGAGCGCATATGGAAGTGCCTGGTGCAGGAGCAAAACTTTGATAACGAAATCCTCTATAACCTTTTATTATTGTGGGACAAAAGCATCCTTAGCAGCGAAAGTGTTATTGAAGCATATCGTCGATCTCTGAAAGAACTGAACATTTCAAGCGATTCTGTGATGTCGGTAGGCTTTTCCATCTGTGATTAGAATTTGCTTCAGACTTTTTCAGGCACCTCTGATGAATCATTTTTTCTGCTGTAGATTCTGATGAGCGTTGAAGGTCTAAACATGGCCCTCGACTGTGTTTGAGCAAATGAGCATAAAAAAACTTTTACGTTTCTTTTCATACCCGAAAACGTTGATTTTCATGCAACCTTACAACCAGAGCGACTATACTGCCGAAATTTTCAGATATTAGTTCTCGAGCGTGTTCGGGCATGTGTACGCAGGGAAAAAGGCACGGAAACGTAAAATTTTATGTAATCCCGCAATCAGAGCAGCTGGAGTGTTAAGATTTCCTGAGCGTGGCCCAGGACGTGTTTGAGATACATATGAAAACAACATTCACATCCCTTTCACATACGAATGCGTGAAATTTAACGTAATTCCACAGCCTATGTCGCTGAATTTTTTGGACATGGATTAGGACCACTGTAATAATTCCTGATAGTCTGGAGACCACTCTTAATTCTTTTAGCTAGAAGGATCTGTCAGAAAAAGCAGCGCCGTTATCGACAAAGATCTTCGGGGGAGTTGTGCAAAAAACGCATCTTCGCACCGGCAGTCGGTGCGCTGGCCAGTTATTTCACTAGGTAAGGTTTTAGATGTCACGTTCAAAATTGCTAACTTTCCCTCATCATCAGTTTTTTCACACTGAGCATAATGAACCCACATACGCCCACTCCCCTTGTTTCCAGTATCTATCTCCAGGCAAGGCCTCTCAGTTCCTTCCCAGTCAATAAGCACCACCCCAAGACCTCATCCTCTCCCTCCTGTTTCTTCACCCCCAACCATTGCAATTCACGTCAACCTGGCTGAGCCGAGCTGAGTTTTAATAATTGCCTGGATATCTTCATGTCACTGTCAAGTTTGACAATGGTGAATGTTGTCGGGGGACGTCGGATCAAGGTCGGACAGATGCGGAGGATAACAAAGCCAAATCTCGTCGAGGGACGTCGATTCCTTACTTTCCAAGAAGCGCGGAAATTCTAAAATGAGGCTCGTTTGAGCTATACAAATTACTTTTTCCATTATCCTGTATGAATGGCGAAATTTCCGCGATTTCCAGGATTGGGAAGCTAAAGGAATCTTGTGTGCTGCTGGCTTTTAAAATTCATATTGTTAAGGAAATGGAAAGAAAGGCATGCCTGAAACGCCATTTGCTGCGCGAGATGCCATCACTTGATGCAAATGTTTTGTCGCAAGTAATCGCAGTATCAGACACATACGACAGTGACCTCATCATATCAGAACATCAGCAGCGCTTAGTGCAAATTAACGATATCCGTAATCGTTTAAACTGGCGCCAAACTTGCCGAGAACAAACAGCAAGTTTTACATTGCTTTTTGCCAAAAGCTGTTAACTTCTACAAGATCGCTACCCACACTTTATCGTGATGCAGAATTGCCATCCGACTAGATAGTTTCAAGAAACTCGTTGATACAAATTCTGACAGCCCCAAGCATGTCGAGAAGATACTACGTCGCATTCTGCTCAGCTCAACTGGGCAGGGAACTTGGCTCGGCCCGAATCGGTATATACACAGCAAAATAGCATTCGTTGGTACGTTTTTAAGTTTGAGTGCGAGCTGCGAGGCTCGCAGTTGTACTTCGGTAACAGGTTTTTTGCCCATGTCACAGTAGCCCCTTTGAAAAGTGGAAATGTTCGTCCGGATTACAGACTGAAAGATCGTGGAAAACGTACGCGTCAGTACTGCTAGCTGCATCTCAGCTTGTATTGATTATGATATTCTTTGTACTTTCTTGCCGATACAGAAATGCCGTAATTACGTTAATACTGACGAAATGTTTGGGTCGAGAAACTTCCCTCTTCCTCCTTTTTATGCCCTTTCTGGAAATGTTTTACCTATCTGGCTTTTTAGGAGACAATAAT